AAGTAGGTTAGTTACGGTACGTACCGTACCTACCTACCTACCGTACGTACGTTACGTACGTACGTACGTACGTACGTACGTAACGTACTACTACGTCTCTCCTCCTCCTCCTCCCTCCTCCTCCTCTCTCTCTCTCTCTCTCTCTCTCTCTCTCTCTCTCTCTCTCTCTCTCTCTCTCTCTCTCTCTCTCTCTCTCTCCCCCACCCCCCTGCACCGCCCATCCCATGGCATTTGTTTGTTTTTATCCTATTCTGATTGTATGAAACTTTATAAATGCATTTGCAGGGCAAGCGAGTTGGTCTGAGAAAGAAAGTAGTTGAAGGATGTGATGAATTTGGCTCCTTTGAATTGCTGGCCTCTGTTGCTGGTCAGATATTGCAAGAGAAAGAAGCCTGTCAAGGTCTGGAAAGTAAAACTAGTGAAACTCATATTGGTCTTGAATCAAAAGATTATTTTGGCACAAACAACATGGAGAAGCATACAAATAATGTGGCTAATGCAACAGTGAAACAAGAACAGTCAAGCAGTGAGGAGAACTTTGACATAGGTCCTTGTTGTCCAAGAAGTTATGCAGATATTCATGCCTCCAAGGCCTCTAGGTCTACTTCAACTGTCACCAAATCCTATAGTTTTCGACAAGTCCCTGGTGGAGAGAGTGCCACAGAGTTGCGGGTGTGTAGTCTGTCTAATTTTGAGAAGAAATCAGACACTACTTCAACCGAAGATAATTGGGACTCAAAACGATCGGTTGTAGTTGGAAGTGAAGATGGGTATGCAAATCTTTCTGATGAGAGTGTCTTTTCTGCAAAGAATGTAGCGAAAAAGGAGATGGGCTTTGTGGAATCTCATGAAGGCAAAGGAGAGAATGAAATTGGTGAAAGTATGGGGCAGTGGAAGGAAAATTATTTTAAAATCGAGAAAATGGAGGATGGGTTAGAGAGCAAGGGTGGTGATTCCATGGATCTGGAGGTCAAAACCCCTCCTATAGACTTTCGTGCAGCACCTCTGCCGGCAACTGTGGGGAAAGCCCACATATGTAAAGATGATGACGAAAATTCTTCCCGGTGTAATGATCCCAGGACACTACCTATGAAGTCCTTCAAGGCTTCATATCGGAGAGATCGTAAGCATAGGAAATCGGTAGCTTCAAGGTTCCGAAAAGTGGTACCACAAGCATCATCTAATGTACATGATTGTTCTGTCTCTGGTGTTCATTCTGAGACCAAAGGTGACTTCACTATCTTATTGCTCTTATTTCTTATTCTAGTTGTATATAGAATCCTTAACTTCTGACTGTGATAGCTGATGCCCCAGCCTGCCATTAAGCACTCTTATATGAAGAAGCTGTTGAACTTTCTTTGCATGATGTTGTATTATTTTGCATATGTTCTTTACAACAAATTAATGCAACAACAGGGACCCTGCCTGATCTTTTCATGAAAAGAAATGAAATCTTCCTTTGACATGCTTAATGGGATTGCAATTTTTGGACCTTTTTATTCTTGGGTTTATAAACTGCATTGGGGTGCACTCCACCGGATAAAATTATTTGCAAATGCTGTTTCCGAATGGTTAACATTAGAATTGTATGTCTTACTTTGTTGCTTCTCATTCAGATATAGCAAATGATCCTCAACATTACTGTAGCAAGGGAAGCAACACACGCCAGAAAAAATCAAGATTGCCCCCTTCAAAAATGAGAAGGTTGTTTGAAGGAAATGCATTTTGTGCATCTGGTTCTGACAGAAAGGATGTAAATAGAGAGCCTTCCTCTGCAGATGGACGATTGCATGATAAATGTAAGGATTTTGCTTTGGTGAATTTTGATTTTCTTTTTCACATCTCAATTGTTGTCTTGCTAAAGTTGGAAGCTATTTTCATGCAGCAATTCCTTCACCCATAGATTCTTCTCCTGCAGAGGGTGGAAAGTCATCCAAGAGACCTGGTGAATCTAAAGGTATTTTATTTGGATGGTCATTTTGGGTTCATAAGTTCTTTAAAGAATTAAAGTGAGCAGGTTATGTTTTTGTTTAATCTGCATTTCAACAGGCTCTGTTTTATGTAATGATTTTTTGGTTTGTAGTAACAGTGAGTTAATATCACGAATAAGTTTTTCCCATTCTTTTGTTAGATAAAGAAATGTCATGTTTTTGTTTGATCAAGAATGTTTTGCGCTGAGAAGTTCTTAAACTTGTTTTTAAAAAAAAGAAAAAAGAAGAAGAATAGAAGACCTTCATTGATTTAAACCCATCTATGACTGATGAGATGATTGTGCAGGCTCTAGTTTCTAGCTTTTGATAAGGGTGCTTCTAAGATTTAAAATTTAGTTATTTACAATATTTAATTATCATTATCTGTTGAATATGCACAATTTTACATGCATGCTGTATTATTGTGATGCTACAGATTTCAATAGACAGATTTAATTCTGTGGAATTTTTTTTATCGTGAATACTATCCTTAATTTTTCCTTATTTCTTACTACTAAACTGAACTTTTATACCACTGTAATCCTTTTGATTTTTTCAGTGAAATTGAGCATCAAGTCCTTCACAGTACCCGATCTCTTTGTTGACATGCCTGAAACTGCAACTATTGGCGCTTTGAAGGTGATTGTTTTTTCTCACTTCAATCTCTCTCTCTCCTGTGGTTTTATGGTTTCTCAGTCATGTTGCTCAATTGCAGAGGGCTGTCATGGAGGCTGCAATTGGAATGCTCGGGGGTGGCCTAAGGGTTCGTGTACTCCTTCATGGGAAGAAGGTCTTGGAGGAGGGAGAAACACTCCTCCAAGCTGGTATCTCTCATGGTTGTGAAATGGATGCTGTTGGGTTCATGTTGGAACCAGATCAGGTGTCCTCACGAGGGTCTCCTGAAGACCCCTTGTTCTTGCTCTCCTGTGCCGAAACTCAGCCATTGTCACTGTAAATTGATGCTTTTCTTGCTCAATGCATTAAAGAATCTCTTTTAGGGCATCTCTCTCTCTCTCTTCCCCCCTTTCGTCTCTCCCTCCCTTTCGATGTGAATGATTTCTGATTCTTTTGCTTTTTCTACCTTCAGGTATCCAATGACTGCTGCTTCAGCTCCAGGTGAAAGAAATTCGGACTGTCTTAAAGGAAGGTCCAGCTCAGCGAGTGGGAATTCAGTTCCCTCAATGACAGGTAGTTGATTCTTAAGACTTGCCCTTGCCAGATTTTTTATGTGCTTGTGTATCATGCTTGAGTTTTAAAGCCATGTTGATTGTATCTTCATAGGAAAGATTTAGTTTTTAATCTATCATGGCTTTGCATTTATATGAAACTTAAAATGGTAACCCCGAAGCTCTCTAATGGCTGGATCAGAATTGGGGCTGATTGGTACCATATATTCAGCTAGTTCAACTATCATCATCATCATCTGAGCTTTATCCCAACTATTTAGATTTGTTTAGCCATGTTATACTTTTAATGGATATGTTTTTGATAAGGCACTTACTTTGAGAAAATCTCATCAACATCTGAAGGTTCTAGGGGTATTCATAATAATGACACCCAATTGCCTAGTAATATCATAGTCTTTTTTATGCCTTTAACTCTTCTAGCCATTAATTTGAGTTTCATCTTTGTGCTTGGGAATATAAAAGGATTTATGGCATAAAATTAAAATCTCAAAAGAGGAGCTTACATGGGGACACCACCTGTTTATGCAAAAGACAAGAAATTTTCAGGATTAGAATGAATTTTAAGCTCCTCGCTTATCACTTTTAAAGCATACTTCATTTCTATCTTTTTTTGGGGAATACTTCATTTCTATCTTGAATGTTTTTATGTTAAACTTCATTTTATGTTAAACTTTATGTTACACATTTATATGTTACAAATGTGTAATTATGTGTTAAATCTAAGTTTTTCTAATGACTAAGCAATTTTGCAGCCGAGCAGACTTCTATGGATCCAATCAAGTGGGAGGAAAGTGATTATGATTCGGTTCCATCATCAGCAGTGGGCCCTGATTCTGGAGCCCTTATAGTTCTTCCGCCTGTAAATATGGATGATGTGGAAGGACTCGCTTTGGTGCCTGTAAATTGCAAGCACCGGGGTTCTGAGCTTGTGAAGAGGCGTATACGTAGACCTTTCTCTGTCGTTGAAGTGGAGGCCCTTGTCCAAGCGGTTGAGAAGCTTGGGACTGGCAGGTATGTGTGCCGGTATTACAGAGAGAGGTCTTTTGGGTGTTTTATTTACCCAAAGCTTTGATTCGTGTAAAATGGAAAAGTAAGAAAACCAATATTATTTTGAGTTTCAGGTGGCGGGATGTCAAATTGCATGCTTTTGATCATGCGAAGCACCGAACATATGTTGACCTAAAGGTATTTTCACCGTATACACCCTCCCACATTTTGAAATGGTACTTTCGTTTACTAATTTAAAATAATGACGGGATATAATGAGACCATTTCCTTTTATATGAAAAGGTGGCAAACACTCCAAGCTATCTGATGTGAAATCAGATTGTCTGGGGTGTGTTATTTCTTTGCACAAAGTCGAGGAAAATTTTGTCAGGCTTTGAGCATGGTCAGTGATACACCGCCAGCTGACCGATTTCACACCTGACGGTTTGGGTAATTGCATCCATTTTATGCGGAAGTTAAACAGTCTCATTGTATACTTCCCCTTAAAAAATTTAGTGCATTTACTTGGGTTATTAATATCCATGAGGATTTCCCCTTGTAATGTTTCATCAGACAGGGTAATGCCTTAATCCCTTGACTTACCCAATTAAAATACATGAAACAATAGGAACCCTTAGCCTTGGGGGCCGTGCATAACATACCTGACATTTCATAAAATAGTTGGGAACCCCGTTCTTCTAGGTGAACAAGCGAAAATGGAGAGAAAAAAAAGGATTGGTGGTTGAGATCTCTATTCATGAGGGGTTTATAGAATAAAAGTATGAAGTTCTGACTTTTTTGAGATGCCATGTGACATCACTTTCTCTCTATAATTTAGGTTTCATGTTATCAGGGAATTACAGCTCATAGAATTGTAAAAATTAGCTCATAGAATTGTAAAAAGTGCTTTAATTATTCTGCATTTCAGGAAGAAAACAATACAATTATTGTGTATTAACAATTATTTTAATCTAAATAATACTGCCAATCCTTTTTAAAAGAAATATAAACCTGATCGTCTACCACAAATGAAATTGTGAACAATGTTAGCATGAATTTTCTTGGTTCGCAGGATAAATGGAAGACTTTGGTTCACACTGCCAAGATCTCTCCACATCAGAGGCGTGGAGAACCAGTTCCTCAAGACCTCTTGGACCGTGTCCTGAGTGCTCATTCTTATTGGAGCGAGCAGCAAAACAAGCAACAACAGGCAGAGGAAGGTTCTAACTGCATGCTCATGAGAGAGCTCGCAATGGAAGCCTGACATTCGATTCTTCCCTCTTCCTTTCTTTCACCGAATATCTTGTATCTCATCGATTCTTTGCCCCTCTCACTTCCCTTTTATTCTCGTTGGGGAAAAGAGAGGTTGGCCTGTACAAAGAACCAAATGCTCTCTGAACACTAACATGAATTCGCCGAAATCTCAAAAGTGTGAAGGCACAGGTAAGTGCACCTCTGTAAATTGGCTGGAAAAGCAAAAGCATGCATGAGGCAATCTGTTTGATATGTGTGTTTGTCTCCTGACTGTAAAAGATCAGAAATCTTGCTTTTGTCTAAAATTTAAAGTATTTGTACACTCATTTTTAAGTCAGTTAAATCTCTCTCTCTATGATATGTGTATTTCTTTATTGTTAAATTTCTGGTTCCTGTTGGCACGATTTGTTTTCTTTTGTTCATTTTAATAAGTTTAGCTCTTGATCCAAAGGAGTAGAAAAACGATTGTTTTGTTCCATGCTGGTGGATCAACTGGGTAACCCAATGTGGCTGGGCCCCACAGCATTATTGGCATTTAGAATCTGGCGCTTGAGGTTTAGACACGTGGTTTGTGACACATGGTGCGTTGGGATTGAGAGAGGGTTGGGTGGATACAGGCTATCGGGTCACGGGGATCCGACGGTTGGTGTGGTGTGGAGTGGGAATTTTGTTGAGGGACGGTGGAGATTTTATTTTGGTATTTTGGCATATGGGTTAAGGTTTGGTGGGGAGATTAGATAGGAAAGTGTTTGTTGGGTTTTAAAAAGCATGAATCCCAGTAGGATTTAGAGTGAGATTCCTGGGGGTTTGAGAGTAGGAGAAGGGGCCAAAATTTGTTCATTTTTTTTGTTAGTTGTGTGTAATGATTGATGTTTAAGTTAGTTTTTTCTTGCTGCGTCACGTGATTGGATGTCTAGGTAATATGCTCTAGAGAGAGAGAGAGAGAGAGAGAGAATGAGTAGGTCTAGGTAATATGCTCTAGAGAGAGATTGGATGTCTAGGTAATATGCTCTAGAGAGAGAGAGAGAGAGAGAAAGAATGTGTAGGTCTAGGTAATATGGAGAGAGAGAGAGCCCTCTTTGTATGCTCTGAGAGAGAGGGATCATGTCCATCTGCTCTTCCCTCAATTTTAAAGTTCTTTGACTTTGTGGGATCACATTCATTTTTGGGGACTTCTCACATGGGAGAGAGTCCTTAATCAATCAAACTTCAATAAAGGCGGCCTAGAAACGGACAGACATTGTTAAAGTATAAATATTAACATATAATCTCTCCTCAAACTTAATTCAATTGCACAATCCACAAGGCACTTTAATATGCCTTCCCTTATTATTTGTTCTTACTATTCTCTCTCTCTCTCTCTCTAAATCCTCTAAATCCATGCTCATCTACACAATTTATCGTTCCTCTTGGACTTGGTTATAGGTGCTGCGGTTCTAAACAATAAAAGTGAGGCACACTTTCAAATAGCGCCTATATTGTTGAGTTTCAAAAATCTTATGATGGTCTGAAAATATTTTTTCATCTCTAATTATAAAATTCAAAGATTAAAAAATAGTGTATATCGAACAGATCTATAAACATTTAAATTTTTTTAAAATCGGCAGTATAGATAATACACTATTTTTAAGACTTGAATTTATTTTTTCTCATGTCCATACATCTTGAGATCGAGATCAAATCGAAGGTTTTTCAGTATTGAAACAACCTTTTCTAATGAATTTTTTAGGTGCACCTTAATTTAAGTGTATAGGGCCTAACACATATGAACTTTTTCCCTAAGTTAATAGTCTTTCTCTTGACTTGGTTAATACTCTCTCTCTCTCTCTCTCTCTCTCAGCAAAATGTCATCATCCTTAGCTCATTTACATCATTCCCTTATCCATTGATCTTGACTTAGTTAATACTCTCTATTTAGCAAGTGGATTTGATTTTTCCCTCTTAGGGATTGGTAAGGTTCACCAATGGCTTTGTCCCCACTTATCATTAGAAATTGATTTTTCTTTCTTATATGTGTATGTGGTCGATGCACATTTGAGGGGGTACTCTTCCCCCGTGGGACTAAATCGTGTGCAGGGAAAAGTTTTGGTGGTCTGGCGAGATAACTTCGATGCTCCCTCGCCCAGAAATGCCAAAATTATATGCTCCTGTTGGAGCAAAATGTTCGTTTGCTCACTTGGGCAAAACCCTGGCTACCAGTAAATTTTAGGATCCCAAAGTCATTTTAAATTTTTTCCAGCGAGAGTGAAAGATGAACAAAAATATTCAGTGTAAGACCGTGCTTTCAAAGTGGTCTCGTGAGACTACTTAGCAGCACCAAATCCAAATAATTAAATTTCATGCATTTATTGAAGCGAATAAAAACCACACATATATACATGTCCCATTTTAGGGTCAAAAGGGAATATTCTAAATACCTAGTAACCAGGCACAACCATGTGAGGCATACAACGGCTTATCATCTAATTATCATGCCATATTTTAGTTTCACAACCATACACGCTTGGTAAATGGTAGATATTAAAGAAAAAAGACCCTCCTAAATTGAATTCCCATCATTCATCAGGAAAGGATGGTGGGGAAAGGACAATGATAAATCACATATCATACACATTATCTTTTAAAAAATGCCGATTCAGATTGAAATGGTTTCGAGAATCGATGGGTACCGGTTGGGTTCTTGGTTGGAATTGGGAATAAGCCACATAACTGGCTAGTTAGGTTAGTGAGCTAGATGATCTGGCTGGATCACTCGGTTCCCATATTTTTTATTATTTATTATTTTTCAAAAGTTTTAATTTTTTGATTTCAAAAGTTTTATTTTTTATTGGGCAGATTTGTTTTCTATTTTTTAAAAATTATTTATTTATTTATTTCTCATATAAATCATATGTTGACTTCATGATTGGTGGTACTAGAAAGTTAATTGAAGTGTTGGTTGTCATTAGAAATTTAGAGACTCAAATAGCTTTGGCAATAGCTTATTTATAGTCACACACCTTCTTAGAACTTAAAGAATCAAATGATGGGTCGGTCACTTATGGGTCCTTTGGGACCCTAGGATATGCAAATCCATATTTTGAATATCTAAGTTTCGATGGCTTAAGGTCGTTTGGGTATAGTTTTGAAGATCATATCTTGAATATCCACATTCTCAAAACTGCTCATATACAATATTTGCTCATTCCAAAAAACAACTGGAATATTTTATATTTAATATTTGCTATTATTATTATTACTGCTATTGATGTTGTTCTTGTTGCTATTATTATTATTATTATTGTTTTAAACATTTATCATGGAATATATCAACATTATTAATATTAGTATTATGATACTATAATATAATAATTTTATATTTTTATGATAACAATATAATATCATTATATTTTCATTATAGTATTACATTATTAACATAATATATTATGATCAAAGAAGGGTGATGACTTTAAACTTTCCCTTAACCCATCCCAAGCTTAGGTATAGGGTGGGGGGGGGGGGCGGGGATTGTGTTAGGTATACATTCAGCGTAAATTTTTGTCAAAACTTTTCATGAATCCAGAATTTGTGATATCTAGTTATGCTAGGGCACTCCCCATAAGTGACACGTTGTATTGAATTTCGGGTATAGTGAGAAATGAGCAAGGGTTACCTAAAGCGTTCCATAGAAGTGACAAGCCACAACGCCGTCTGGCTGCGTGAAAAATAGGCAAGGGTTCCTACAACATTCTGGACGAGTGCGGGTAAAAAAGCTAGTCTAAGATAATATGATTCACTTAGCCTCATAGAATGTAGGAATGCTTATAGGTCACAGTATGGAGTTAGTTGATACAAAGATATAAAGGAAAGTAAACATAGCTTGTCTACAGGAAAACTAAGTGGAAAGGAGAAAAAGCTAAGGAAGTAGATGGGTATAAGCTTTGGTATATAAGAAAGGATAATATTATAATGACCTATGTATAATAGTAGTTAAAGATTTAAAAGATAAAGTAGTTAATATCAAAAGAGTAGGTGCTATGCTCCTATAATTAAACTCGTATTAGGAGAATAAATAATTAGCGTAATTAGTGCTTATGCACCACAATTATGACTAGAAGATATAATTGAAAGACAATTTTGGGATGACATGGATAGACTAGTACAAGACCTACCAAATAGAGATTGACCTTTTTAGAAAAGGGCTTAAATAGATATGTAGAGATGGATAGTAAAGGATATGAAGGGATACATGAGGGATACGGGTTTGGTGAACGAAATGAGAAGAGTGAGGCTATTCTAGATTTTGCTATGGCTTATGACCTAGTAATAGAAAATACTAACTTTAAAAAGTAAGATGAACATTTAATAACCTATAAAAGTAAATCATATAAAGCTAGATAGACATCTTTTTAGTTAAGAAGATGGATCGGCCATCATGTAAAGGCTGTAAGGTTATCCAATGGGAGAGTTTGACTATCAACATAAGCTCGTGGTTATGGATGTCTGCATAAAGATTTGGAAGAGAATGAGTGAAATAGATGTCCAATAACATGGTGGTAGAATTTTAAAAAAGAGAGAAAATAAACTTATTTAACGATAAATTAGTTAAAGTAAGAAAATGTAACTTTGAGTATGAGGTCAATATTATGTGGAATGAAATGACTAACTATATTAAAGAAGTGGTAAAAGAAGTTTTAAGTGATTCTAGAGGAAAAAACATTCCAATAAGGAGTCTTGGTAGTGATGAGGTTTAAAATGCCATTAGTAAAAAACGATCATATTATAAAACTTGACAATGTAATAGAAATAATCAAAACATAGAAGAATATAAGAAAACTAAGAAAAATGCTAAACAAATAATAAGTAAGGCAAAACTTAAGACCTATGATAATCTATACAGTAAATTGGGAATAAGAAAATATGAAAAACATGTCTTCATATTAGCAAGAGTGAGAGAAATGAGGGGCATGCATCTAGACCATATTAAATTTATTAAGAGTGAGGATAAAAAATTATTGGTGAATGATGAAAAGGTCAACAAAGGTGAAAAGTTTATTTTGAAAAATCATTACATGACAAACACAGTGGGAACATAGCGGTAGAAAAAACCGTTGGCATAAATGATGGTGAAGGTCGATAAATTTGTAGAATTAGGATATTAGAAGTGAAATAAGCATTGAAGATGATGAAGATAGGAAACGTTTTAGGACTAAATAGTATTCCAATAGAGGTTTGGTAGTGCATAGGTGAGATTCACATTGATTGGCTGACTAAGCTGCTCAACAAGGTATTAAGAACAAAGAAAATAACATATGCATGGAGGAAAAGTATTGCAGTACCTATTTATAGGAACAAAAGAGATAAAAAAAATGTGCGAATTA